AGGACAAAGGACTAATGCAAGCCTCAGTCCCTCCAGCCAACATGATATCTGCATCACCAGCAGCAATAAATCTAAAGGAGTCTCCAACAGCATGTGCACCTGTGGTACAAGCAGTTGACACAGCATGATTTGGTCCTTTCAGCTGGTATTTAATGCTGATATGGCCTGCTGCCATATTGACTAAAATCTTTGGGACAAAGAACGGGCTGACCTTGTTATAACCCTTTGTTTTAAATAAAGCAGCTGTATCAGAAATCTCTTCCAGTGGAACCATTCCCATCCCAATTGCCACACCAGCACTTAAGTGATCCTCTTCAGACTGGGGAGACCAGCTGGAGTCCTTCATTGCCAGATCTGCTGCACCAATGGCCATCACAGTGGCAGAACTCATGGATTTGGTCTCTGATTTTGACACAAACATTTCTTCACTGAACTGACCTTCCCCATTTCCCCTTGGCACACAGGCAGCCACTTTACACGGGATGCCTCCATATTCTTCCCCCTCGAGTGCTACAATCCCACTGTCTCCTTGGAGAAGGTTCTTCCACACAAACTCGGTCCCCACACCAAGAGGGGACACTAAGCCAATACCTGTAACTACCACTTTCCTTCGACGTTCAGGCAGTGACTTGCTGAAAGCTCTTCTGTGGTTTTGTAAATGCAGACTTAAATTCAGACTTTGGAGTTGAAGCTTTGCAATCTTTAACAGATGCCATGAGCACTGTGAGAACATGGTAGAAATCAATCACTTCAAGAACGTTCCTGTAACTGGGATAAAAAGACAGAAATATATCAATAAAGCAGCTAATGTGGAAAACGTCACACTTACAATAAACTGATTAAAACCTGCTTTTTACATGAAAGCCTACTTTCAACCCTGAAGAAAGACAGATGTAGCTTCCATCTCTGTAATCATGACTAGTATGCGTTATGGCAGACAGGGCATAGAAATACACTCACTTTATGATTGCCTCTAGTGGGCTATTCTAGCTTAAGCTGCTCATGAATAGGATTTTGCACTGCTGTGGACTACGAGGCACTCTCTGGTTTTGCTGCAAAACTCCTCCCTACGGCTTTAACCACCAGCTGTCTGGAGGTATCAACAATAAGCATTAACAGCTTCAGTCATCTCAGGGAGGAAGTGTATGTTCACCTGTAACCGTATGTCCTATCATTATCCTGTTAAGGATGTTGCTATCTCAATCTTTTTGTCAGGCAAAATGGTCTAGAAAACTCAGAACAGGAGTCATAGAATCATAGAACACCAGGCTGGAAGGGACCTCAAGAGTCATCTTGTCCAATCTTTCTCAGCAAAAGTCGAGATAGCCTTCCTGGTTCTGCCACCAAGGCACTCACCAAGGTAATTACATATCTTGGGCATGACTCCTCATCTTTCTACCTCTACCTACCCTTCATGAACTTTGGGTTATTTAGATCAGCAAGGGACAGCACCTCAGCTGTGTTTGAGCAAGATGTACCCCACCACCACCTCCTTTGAAGACAATCCCACCAGACCTCAGATATCATGAGGCATGTGAAGTGATGGCAGGAGGGTCCAAGTACTTTGGGCAGACAAAAGGGCCATGCCAAACAGTAATGCTGCAGCACTGCACCACAGTCTTCCTGCCTTGCCTCAGCAACTGCCAGGCTGGGAGCTGGTCTGATCACACACATCCAGCACACAGGAGCAGGGCAGAGGCTGCAGCTCAGCTCTGCCAACACCTATGATACAGGCTTCAGCAGGTCACCTTGATCCTGGATTTACAGCAGGAAGGTCAAAATTTACCCTAGAAGAAACAATGTAAGTATATCTGTTGAGGTTTAGAAGAACAACTGTCTTGGTTTAGGTAGATAACAACTGACTGAATGAAGGCCAAAGGGCACCAGAGGAGGACAATAACATCCTCAGATGAAGGACGTATAACTCGTCAGTGTCAAGTTGGCAACAAAACTGATTTTGGAGGTATCCTGAAGTGGACTGCCTTCGTTATAATACTAAAAATCACTCCCCCTTAAGGTAAGAGACCTTTGCCCACAGAAAGCCTTACTCACAGCACAGGCATAGCGAAATAAGTCTATACTGTGTCTTTAAACAGAGATGAGAGAATGTAAGAGCCAGTGACTGTAGATTACAGCCCAATCATTGTAATTGCTAGTGCACTACTTTGAACTTCTGTGTATTAATGTAACAAAGCAGGCAGCGTGGCATGGAGTGTGCTTGACTTGTGGAAGCACACCATCAAACACACTGCAGAACAAATGATACATCCTGTCTAAACAGACCAGGAGTGTGTTTCAAGAGTTCTCTTTCAAACAGGCAACAACCTGCTTTTTGCCTCATAAAAAGGGCAACTGAGCATTGATAGGTCTTTGGTAAAACACATAGGCAGCTGCATGGGGAACATACAGGGCTGTTGGGCTCATGCACTCCTGCTAAGATCATCAAATCATAGAATCACATAACCATTGGGGTTGGAAGGAACCTCTGGAGATCATCCAGTCCAACCCCTCTACCAAGACAGAACCACCCAGAGCAGGTTACACAGGAACATGTCCAGGTGGGTGTTGAATGTCTCCAGAGAGGGAGACTCCACAACCCCCCTGGGCAGCCTGTTCCAGTGCTCTGCCACCCTCTGTGTAGAGAATTTCTTCCTTATGTTGAGGTGAAGCTTCACAGGACCATCGCTCCTTGTCCTGTCACTGGGCACCACTGAAGAGTCTGGCACCATCCTCCTGGCACCCAACTCTGAGATATTTACATGCATTAATGAGATCCCCTCTCAGTCTTTTCTTCTCCAGACTAAACAGGCCCAGCTCTCACAGTCTCTCCTCATAAGAGAGAAAACACACACACACATGCTTTTTCCCATGGGAGCACAAGTACACCACAGTGGCATTAAAAAGTAAAAAGCTAAAACCAGCACTTACTGAAGAGGTCTTCTCTTTAAAAAAACATAAGGCTGCTTTAAATCCTGGCCCAAATTTGTCATTGTACATTTTTCAGACAGGCAGCCTGGGTATTTTAAGAAGATGCAATATACATAACATCATTGCAGAGGTCTTTAAATCGGTGATGGCCTAACACGCAGCTTCCTACAACACACTGTCAACTGCTGTACGATGATCAGGAGCCCTGGTCTGGCCCAAGCAACGCTACATGACATACCGTGGAAGAGATAAACAAGCGGTGATGTTCTCTCCCCGGTACCGAGAGCTACCGGACCTCACCGTGCGTTTAAAGGCTATTAACTACTTCTAACATTTAAACCCTGACGCCACGGGACTCCACAGCACCACAACTGCCGTCCCGCCCGGCTCCGATAGGGGCAGCCTCTCCGGCGGCCCGGCAGGCGAGGGGTAGCGCTCCCGCTCCCCGTCCCGTCCCGTCCCGTCCCGTCCCGCTCCCTCCGCCAGAGCCGTCCGCCAGAGCCGTCCGCCAGAGCCGTCCGCCAGAGCCGTCCGCCGCAACCCCCCCGCTACCTCCCCTGCCCGCACCGCCGCTGCTCCACGCACGTTACTTGAGACTGCCTCCGCCGTCCAGAGGACTCCGGGACGCATCACCCGAAAGGCGGTGGAAGAGATGGACACGCCGGCTTTGTAGCCGATCGCTGATGTCACGATTGGTGAGGAGCCAGCCGAGCAGATCGATAGCTCGGCGGTGGACTGCGCGGCCTGGCGGCGCTTGGAGCGGAGCGGTGACTCGAACCGGAGCGGCCCCGAGGCCGTCGGTGCAGGCGGGACGCTGATGGGGAAATGACTTCCTCCCCCAAAAGGCGCTTTGAGAACACACAAAGTGAGAGCAAAAATACTAGGCAGCTCCCCGAACTCACGATCCCAGTGGAGTAATAGGCAAGAAGGTAACGCTAAGGCCGTGAGGGACGCCTTGTCGTGTCCCATCGGTTTCCTCAATACCGCATGCGTGCTGCAAGCATTTCCGCACTGAGCTGTCAAAACTGCAGCGGTGAACAGCACAGAACTATATAATTCAGGGCCATCACACACACACATGTGTAAGGAGCTCCTCAGGACCATGCTATGGAGTTTTTTCCAGGCCCGTTTTATATTTCACCGTAACTATTTCCTTAGAGCAGTTTTCCTGCCGGCAGTTTGCTCCCTTGCTCTAGTCCCAGTGCTCCTCTGATCGCCATTCTGCTACCTGCATTCCTCAGATCCCCATCCTTCACCAGCTTCTAACTTTGCCACCATTCCTGGTAGAAAGCACTTGGGGGTGCTGATTGACAGTGCAGAACATGAGCCAGCTTGTGCCCAGGCAGCGAAGAAGGCCAACAGGCCTGTATCAGCAATAGTGTGGCCAGCAGGGCCAGGGAAGAGATCATCGCCCTGTTCTGGGCACTGGTGAGGCTACACCTCAAATCCTGTGTTCAGTTCTGGGCCTCTCACTACAAGAGGGACATTGAGGTGCTGGAGTGGGTCCAGAGAGGGACAGCAAAGCTGGTGAAGGGCCTGGAGCACAAGTGTAATGAGGAATGGCTGAAAGACCTGGGCGTGTTTAGTCTGGAGAAGAGGATGCTTAGGGGGGACCTTATCGCTCTCTACAACTGCCTGACAGAAGGATGGAGAGAGATGGGGGTCAGTCTCTTCTCCCAGTTAACAAGTGATAGAACAAGAGGTAATGGCTTCAAGCTGCATCAGGAGAGGTTTAGATTAGCTATTAGGAAAAATCTCTTCACCAAGAGGGTGCTCAGGCATTGGAACAGGCTGCCCAAGGCAGTCGTGGAATCACCAATTCCTGAAGCGTTCACAAACGGTGTAGATGAGGCCCTCAGTGACATGGTTTAGTGGTGGTCTTGGCAGTGCTGGGGTAAAGGTTGGACTTGATGACGTTAAAGGTCTTTTCCAGCCGAGCTCATCCTATGACTCTAAACCCGTCAGGATACGTCCGTTTATCAGCGTCCGGAGCACCGCAGCTGACCGCAGGCGGGGCAGGACCGCTGGAGCGGGGTCTGAGGGCGTGACCTCACCGCTCCTACTGCGCATGCGTGGTGCTCGCGCTCCCGGCGGCACCGAGGGCGGGGTGCGATGGCGGCTGTCGTGGGGTTTGCGTCCGCGCCGGCCTCTCCCGCCGTGAGCGAGCTTTGCCAGAACAGGCGGGACATTTTCCTGGAGGCTTCTCGGCTGCTCCTCACCTACGCGGACAACATCCTCCGGTGAGCGAAGCATGGCGGCGGGAGCCCTGGTTCGGGCTCAGCCTGCGGGCCCGTTGCCGCAGGGTGACTGGGCGGCCCGGTCGGGGCCCGCCGTAGGACAGACGCCCGGTTCCTGACCGTGACGGTCGGGGCCGTGCCGGGGTGCTCGAGGGCTCTGCGGTCATCGCGGTGAGCCGAGCGCTTTGACTGGGCGGTGTTAAGTAACAAGAGTCCCCTTGTCAGCTGGGTGGTTCCTCTCTGGTTGCTACTGCAGCTCCATAAGGAACTTGACATTAAATACTTCTAGGTAGTAAGTTATTTATGGGCTTGTAGGCAGACCGTCTCAAAGATGAGCCGTGCGATTCAGTTTTATTATGGGATATTGAAGTTAAAAAATATCTAGCATCTCTTCATCGTTATTTAGAAATAAGACTACTGTTCACGTGAGTGTGTGTGTTTTGGATTTGTATTTCCTAAATTGTTGCTGCTTGGTTTGTCTTGAGGGCTTGTCTTTTTGTTGTTATTTTTTTTTTTATTAAATATAAACCCCTGCATTGGCCCTCATTCTGCAAACATTGAAGCACCCAAAACATAGTGGATGTATAAATAATGCTAAAATAGTAACTTGAGTTTTCTGTTGCCTTTCTCATCTGACTCTGTAAGATTGGTATCAAGAGTTAATTATAGCTGAATTTTTGCAAGGTGGCTCTGTAGGGTATACATACATACCAGCATGTATGATTGACCTTGATGTTCAAGCAGCTCAAGATGCAGGAGCAACCCCCTCCCTGTATATTTGTGGTTTATCAGTCACTTTCAAAAACTGCTGTGTGACAGAGAATGGTGGGTCCTGGACTGACTCCTTTTAAAGAAAGAGATGAGAGAAGAATGTTTAGAACAGTTGAAAAAGGGAAATGGAGCTGAAAGCCCTTCAAGAAGTAAAAAGACTACAACAGTTTCACCTGTCATGGACCTGAAATGATCCAGCATTGTGCTAATGAGTTCAATAAGAATTCTGCTAGGTGGACTGGGGTGTAAAGTTGTCTCTAAGTGTCACTTCAGACTAAGTCCTGCTGGCTAGGGCTAGAAAACATGTATTTATAAACTTAATTTGCAAACTAAAATTTAGAACCAGTCTGTAACTGAGTTGAATGAAGAAGGACATGAATTAAGTCAAAGTAGGTTTCATATTCTGCCTGCGTGGTGTGACTGAAACTTAACTTTGAAAAAATCTGTTATTGCTGACTAATGCTGCTTAGTGCAGTTGCCCAGCTTGTAAATGTTTACTTAATTTGCAAATGTAATTAAAACTTTCCATTTCTTAAGGAATCCTTATGAAGAAAAATACAGGTTAATTCGAATTGGAAATCCAGCATTTTCCACGAGGCTGTTGCCTGTCAGAGGAGCAGTTGAATGTTTATTTGAGATGGGATTTCAAGAGGTGAGTATAATTTGGTAATTTCTGGTGTCTTCATCAGTTACACACTAAAATTTAAAATTGGATTTTTTTTTTCTGCCCTCCCAATTGCAAGGCACTAGATTTTAAGTGAATTGCTGTTTTCTTTCATTCCTTGTTTGCGAATATCTGCAGTTAAGTAACAGAAAATTTAGGTGAGACTACTTGAGAAATCTGATGGAGCTAGAGCTAACCTGATCTGTGCTGATCATAGAATAGTTAGGGTTGGAAAGGACCTTAAGATCATCTAGTTTTCTAGTACAGTTCAGGTGCACTACTAGTTTGCTTAATTGTCAGATACATATCCAAGGAAATGGTGGGAAACAGGGTGAAAACCCCTTCTCTTGGTAGCAGCCCACTATTAGGTGAGCATCAGACTGCACCATCAGACAGCAGCTTCCATATTGGAAACCTGTGTGTGGAAACTGTTATTTGGAAGAGGGGGGAGGTGAAGTCCTGCTCTTCTGCTGCTTGCTCCTACCATTAGCAGGGCTTGTATAGCCCTATAGTGAGTTAGATAAGGGAAACTGATATGATTAAAAATTAATCCCCCAAACAGGAGAAGAAATGTTTTTTCAGCAAATTCACAATGCAGCTGCACAAGTACTAGTGTTGTCATGACAGCAGTGGAGGGCAATAGCCTGTTGAAGTTGTGAGAAGGTGGGACTTCTAGCTGTTTAAAACATTTATGAAACTGCATGTTAAAATAGTCTTGAGTGAATCTCGATTCTGTTGCAGTCAAAAAGATGTATTTTGAAGATTGCTTTGTGTCCTGAAATGGTCCCTGTCTTGATAGAGCTTAACCTGCCAGTTTGTTAAGCTAGAAGCAGCCTTTGTAATTACAGGAGAGCTGAGGTGAAAACCCAGCTCTTGTTTAATGGTGCAAAGCTTAAGCAAGAGCTTTGCTTTAATTTATCCATTTGATGCCATGCTTCTTTATTGGTATATACAGTATGTTATTTAGGGCCAGCTGTCATGAGACATCCCCCTTCTCTTTGGGTGAAGTTAATCAGTGTAATTGTCCTAATTAAAAAAAAAAAAGTATGCTAAAGTAAATGGTGACTACAGAGAGGTAAATAGTCTGTGGATTTATTCTCATGGTGGTGCTCAGGAGATGACTTTTAACAGTGTGCATTAGCCAAGAGATAGTCAGTGTAGCAGTGTAGTTAGTGAAGTGCTCAAGCCACAGTAACAGTCATTCTGAACATATTATCAAGTGCTATTCTCCCTTCTGTCAGCTCTTTAGGACCATGTTGGCTTAATCTTCTGGTTATCATGTCAACTGGGGCTGGAGCTCACAAACTCATATTCAGCTGTGATAACTAAAGTTGTTTCTTCTTTTGTGTCTGCTTGGTAATTAAAAATTAGTGTTCTGCTGGATTGATAAAATCAATTTAGGTTTGTGGTGATTCTGAAAGCATTAAAATGAAGCAGTGCATCTGCAGTGATAGGCGACCTAAAGTAAATGTGGATAAACAAATTAGTGTAATAAATAGAAGTGCTGCAGTGCAAGAAACTGAAACTCTTCAAGTGTGAATGATTCAGGATTTTCATGTTTTTAGCAAACTATTTCTTCATGTTAAGTTGGAAGAGTTCAAGGTCACTTTGGTCAGCGTAGTCTAGTGGAAGGTGTCCCTGCTCATGGTAAGGGGGACTGGAATTAAATGACCTCTATGGTCCCTTCCAACCCAAATCATTCTATGGTGTGTGTCACAATTACTAATCTTTTGTTACGATACCAGTAATCATGTTACAATCAAATATAGGAACCCAGAAATCAAGATGCTTACCTGTCACTAACATTTCCTATCTGAAAACTCGTAAAACCTAGAAGATTATATATAGAGATATATTCTCTTCTTCAGTATAGAAGAGAATTCCCAGCAGATGCTATTCTAGAAGCTTCTTCCCCCAACACTGGCTGTCTTCCTTTGTTGCCTTGCATTTCACTGCTGCACAGTGAGAACTGAGCATTTGTTGTTCATTTTTGTTGCTGCTTTCTCTGCCAAGCCGTAATTGGGTTGCCTGTGTGTGGCTCTACAAAATAAGTTACTAACAAAAGCATGTTGTTCCAAGCCTTTTTTCTCTAGACTGACTGTAGGTTCTTGATCTAATAGCTTCTGCTGTAAGGGACCTAATCTGAAGGCTGAATTCTGCCAAACCTTAGTGTGCTAACTTCCAGTAAGTGATACAGTTGTTAGCTATAGATAGAAATCACTGACTAGCTTAGACCTGCATTAACTGCTAAATTAATTTGTCTAAATTTCAGGAAGAAACTCATCTGGTTTTCCCTAAGGAAGCTTCAATTGAACAGCTACGTAAAATCAGAGACTTAATTGCTGGAGAGAGGAGTAGCAGACTGAATGAGTCAAATCAAATCCATAGATCAGGATCCTCTGAAACTGTAGCCAGCACTCGGACAGTTGCACATCAGCCTTCAAGACCTGCTGAGTCTGTTCTTGCCCCTGCCCATCAGCAGCCAGAAGCATCACTTGTGCAGTCTCTTGAAATGGTAACTATAACCTGAAAACTTTGTGGGCACACTAATTCTGAGTATAAAGATTGCTGGAGAGTTAACAGAACAGGTTACTTGGAGAGGCTGTGTAGTCTCCAAATGTGGGTGCTTTCAGGACCTGACTGGATAAAGCCCAGAATAATTTGGTCTGACATTGTAGCTACCCCGGCTTTGAGTAGGAGGTTGGACTAGAGGAATTTTGATATTTTTTTCCAGTGTTTTATGAAGTTTTTGAGTGTTTTCTTTGGTTTCCATGCAGCTTCAATGTGAAACATGCCATAAATAGAATATTAACAAAGATTTTATTGAAGATGTCTATAAGTGTTTTATTCATCAGGGTGTCAAGGAAAAACAGCTGATTTGTATTGAAAGGGAACATCAAGGTGGGGGGAACAAAGAGAGGGGTGGGAAGCTAAGGCAAGGGCTGTATACCGTGTTTGGTTTTTGAGATCCAGCAAAAGAACATGAGCGCAACCATAATGTTTGATTGTTAGCATCTCAGTTCATGCGTTATGACCTCTGTGTGTAGCCTGTGAGGAGGCTTTTCTTTTTTTGCGCATGCAGTTGCTGTGAGAGATGGGAATTTAGCCAGACAAGGGCATATCTACAGTTATTTAGGCTGTATTACCCTTGTCCAAGAGGTTGAGATAAAGTTTCTTATCAAGACAGAGAAGCAGAGTCGTTTCGTCTGATGTTACGTGGCCTGGTGGGAGAAAACTCTTTATACTTCATACAATTTTGAAAAATTGCTATGCCTTTAGATAGAATGTTTGAAGGATGCTGTGGTTTAACTTTCTAAAGAGTTCCCCCCCCCCCCCCCCCCCCGAACCAGTGTCACTTGAATTTTTCAAAAGGTTATTTCTCACACGTCCTTAAACAGTTTGTCTCATTTAAATTACATTATCAGTATATTCTTGGATACTGAAATATGACATACTATTTCTTCCCAATACATACCCCAAGATCAGTGGAAGAGAAATGGAAAAGCATAGATTGAAGTGGTGGCTTTTAGGGAGAGAGCACTCAGTGACCATCGTCACCCATAATGTCCTTTGGAAAAGGAGCTATTGGAGGCACTTGAATATTGAGCCGTGTGTTAGCATGATAGTAGTTGCCTCTAAAATATACTGACTGGGTTTATTTGAATTTGTTTGAAGTCTTGGTGGTTTGGTGTTTTTTTTTGTCTGCATCTTGGTTTTTACTCTTTCAGCCATGTCTGCGGTAGCGGTTGGAAGTGATGATGAAACTAATTTAGAGTGACTTGCTGCAGTACTGGAGGCTTTAAAGCTGTGAAAGTTGCACTGATCTTGCAATGAGAAAATGTTGCGGATTTCAAGTTGACACAATGTATTCTGAGGTTAATCCTTCTTAGCTACTTGTAACTACTTGTTTCACCTTAACCATCAGAGTTGTGGATACCTTACTTTGCAACTCTTATTTTATCATGTTTCAAGAGATTCAACATGGGTGGTAGGGCTTAGAGAAAGGCAAGCTCTGTCTGGTCATTATACTGGTGGATAGATTCTGATCCCTTCCTGGATAGAGTAGTGATTAGAGGAGGAAAAAGGTATCCAAACTTAGATTTGCAGTGAGGTTTACCACACTTCTAGATGTTTGCATAAACCTTTACTGGCATAGGTGGCTTCCATTAAGCCAGTTAAGCACTACTGTAACATGGATGGTGTTTGCCTGTGGGAAAATCTGCGTAGTCATTTCTGATGTGCTGAGCAATATCTCTGAATGTTCTTTCAGGAAGCTGACAGAACATGAAGATCTGTAAGCCACTGCCAGTCCCTAACTTCCCTTGTTTCTGTTCTTCCAACTTGCATTAAAGTGAACCTGAACGCAATTTGGTTTATGATGTTAAGCCAGTTACCTACAGCTGATGAGCTCCAGGAAGAGTAAAACCAGTTCTCTTGTTAGCAGTTGCGAAAAGTAAAGACTGGCCCTGTAGTACTGTCCAGCATCGAAATAATCACTCCTAATTTAGATGATCCTTTGAAAGAAGACTCTTGAAGAGTTCTCATACATGTGTTATGTTTCATTTGTTGCTAGCATCTCAAGAAAGCGTGGGATTTTGGTGGAAAAAAAGATAGTAGTTAAGAAGGCTAAAGGCTGAAACATGATCTAGCAGTAGAGATAAGGTAATTTAGCAGTGCCACGGGCTGACCCCCAAAATATGTCAGACTTAATTTTAAAATACCATTTCAATTTGTGTTGTCCCCCTTTAAGTGAGAGTAAACAGTTTGCTTGGGTACTAACTCCAATATTATGAACTTTAGCTATTTATTTCAGTAGATACCTTATTGGGTGCATCATGTAGTTGCCACTAAGTGACACTTGGGATAACTGCCTGAAGAAGCCTAGTTCTTGTATTTGATTTCTAATGAAATACGCTGTTCAGTGTGTGGTCACGGGGCTATCCAAATCTGTATCAGAGTTGATGTGTGAGGGAAGGAAGTAGAAATAGATGAGCGGCATTAATCAGTAGTAGAGTTCTATGAACTGGCACTGCAGTGTTCAGTAAATATGATGAATTACAGGTTCTTTTGTGGGTTTCAGGTAAAAGGTGTCAAAAATAAATGAGGGAATAATTAATAAAATTACTATTAATTAATTAAAAAAAAAAAAACAAAACCAAAACCTTTGCCGTAAACCAGTTTTCTTCCTGAATCATCAGGGTTTTTTTTCCCCTTAGGACACAATTCAGAATAGTCAAAGATGACAAGGCTGGCTTTACAGTTTGTGTTGATGGTGTCTGTAATTTGTATTGACATCTTTACAAATATTTTTCCTATAAAGAAATATATAATGTAACTGAGGATAGCATTATGACTCGGACTAAGAGTTCTTCTGGCTTAAGATGGAAGTTCAAAAATCATCTTGTGACTGAAAATCCTTTTTCAGGCTGCAAATATCTTGAAAACACTTCAAACAAAATTCGAGCATCTTGTATTGATGTATGAGAATCCTTCTATTCAGCAGAAAGCACTAGCTTCAATTCCCCTTCAGCAATTGAAAAGAAAAGCTCAGAAAAAGCTAGCGCAAGCTACAAGACTGGACAAAGGTAATGCTACAAAGTTATAATGTGTATGAAATTTAAAATATTCTTTCAAAAATCTGGATGATGCATATATCTACTATGCTTTAGGTGTATGGATTTGGTCATATGTCTGGAGGTTCCAAATGCTGTCACTAAATCAGAATTGTGTTCTTTATAATTTTAAAATTTTCTACTCTTATTACTTTTTCCTTAATTTTTGTCATCCATCCTTTATTGCTTGTACATAAAGATGTTGAACCCTTAATTTTGGAATTAGCTAACAGTGCTGGGGAAACAAATGAGGTGAGCATGTACTGTCGTATTCTTTGCATCTGGAGTGAAATAGTTCATACAATAGAAGGGGAGCTTCTTATTTGAGCAGTCATTTTTCTGAGACTGTTACAGTGCAGTTTTGCTGTATGTACAATTCCAAATTGAGATAAAACTTCAAAACACTGCTTATCTTTTTAAAGTGATATTACCTGTGAGATTGTGCATGAGACTTTTCCAAGACAAAACCTGATACAAATAGTTGTGTCTTGCTAATGCTTAAATGAATAGGAGCTAAAAGTGAATATCTGTCGCTCTAGTGGCTAAACCTTACATTTTCTTCATAAGTGCAAATTTGTTTTGAATGTACAAAGTATCAGTTAAAAGTGACATTTCTATTTTCAAGTAACAGTTTGATTTGTTTCAGTAATGTAGTGAATTTTTACTTGTATGAAATAAATATATATTTAAAAATCCCCAACACTATTCCAAGACCATATTTACACCAAAAAATCCTTTCACGGTGAATCTTTTGATAGAAGACTCTGTTTGAAGTAATTCTGCTAAATTGATGGGAGTGCTTTTGATTTACAAGCCAAAAATAAGCTATGCTCTATTGTGCACGTTTAAATACTGTTGTGCACATTATTTAGAAAGAGGAAGGAAGGAGGAGGGTGGTGTTTCCAGGTGCTTCTTCGCAAGCCATCAAACTGATCTATTCAAAATAGCTTCCAGACCTTAATTTAGATACAGATAAAGGGGAAGGGATGGAACTCCACTCTTTTGTATTGTGACAATTTGAAACCACTTTTAAAGACCTTTCTAGAAACAGTCTTTTGTGAATGGACTGTATATGAGATGTATGAGTAATTGGCCCTTTCAGCTTCTTTGACTTGCCTGTACTGCTGTAGTAAGACTCTCACCTGTGGGAATAACTGCTTAGTGCTAGGTGGCATTTGCTTTTAGGACTTCCCTTACAATGCATAATAGGCATTTTTGGATCATAGAGACTGTGCCAGGAAGATTATTGTCATCTGATCAGAAGCACAAATTTGTTTTACCTGTTTCCTTTTACCACTTTCCATTAGAAAGATGGATTGTGCTGTCAAATACAGCTGTGTGTCCCAGGCAGCATTTTCTGTTCAAATAAATTACATTTGACATTCTGTGCAATGTTTTCATGAAGGATTTATTTTGCAAACCAAGAGAAGAATGTTCATATGATAGCAGTCATATTTTCATAGATAGGTTCTGATTTGAATGTTATCCAAGAAGATTATATAGCCTGTGCTTGAAATCTTCTTACTCAATTTTTAGCAGGAGGTTTAAATAATTAATTTTGTAAGCAATAACAACCTGAGTGTTCCAGTACAAATGTTTTTAATGTGTAATAAATAAAAATGGAACTTTTACTGCAATTAAATCTCAGGTGTTCTTGCTTTGATTAATAGATGATCTTTTCTCATGCACTTTGTGGTCTTGGCAATATGTGTTTAATAGAGTTCAGACCCTCAGAGTCATTTGTACCAAAAACTACTTTAGCTTCTGAGGAAGAGCTTAAATAAGTGAAACACGCATCTTACCTCATCTCTCTTTGCCATCCTGAAAAAAGGAGCTAGTGCACAAATTTTGTGCATGTTGTTTCAATTTCCTTTAAACAGCATTTTTATAAATTCTTTTTTGTGTATTCATATTTATTAGTCAGACCTGTCTGCACTGTGACTAAGAAGCAAACTGTAGTACATAAAATAACTAGGTATAAATATCTATGATTGCAGTCTGACCTAGATAATGGAGTTAATAGGAGGACTTATTTGAATGTTTATGAATCTAAGAAGGAAGAGTATCTGGACATTGGAGCAGATTATACATTTAAAGACTCTAAGGAATTAGAAGGATCTCTTTTGGGAGACTGGATTTTTAAATTTTAATTAAGTATGTTAATATGTTATTAAATCTGTTAATTAGGTAAAGTGGAGTTATTTCCAGGTGGTGGAATAGTGACAGTGTGTGAGTAGATTCTAACACTGTTGTGAACACAGGAAAATGGGTCAGAAGAGTTTAGTGTGGTGAAGTTGGCTAGAGTAGAAAAATAAATGCAACCTGTTCTAGCTGGGGTAAGATGACAAAGGTCTTTATTTGCTAACTTCATTAACAAACACAACCTGTAGAACATACCATGTGAACAGTAATTAAACTGTGTTTCTACAAAGTCTGTTCATAATTACACCTGGCTGTCTAGACTGCTGCCAGTGTCTGGTTCTTTGGGATTATGAAATCAAAGTGATTGTTATTTCTAGTTTAATAGCCAAGACTAGGAAAAGAATATTTAGAAGAAGAAAGCTGTGGAAGACTGGGAGCATGAGGAACTTCAGTAGGCTTCAATGTGTGTCTAGCTTGTTTTTTTCTGAGCAGTTTCTTACTCTCACTCTAGCTTTGGTGTGAACAATTTTTTGTTCTTTATAGAGTTTGATGTTACTCAGTTTTGAGAATTTAGATTTTTTTTGTGTGTGTGTCAATCCTTAGGTAACATATGAAGCTTTTTTTGTAATGAGACTTTAAAATATAATAAAGGCCTAGAGATGGTCATTTATGTAGATACTGGAAAGTTCAACCAAATTGTATTCCCCTTACTGTGTGTTGTGTAAACTTTACAGGTGCACATGTGAATGAAGAGGATTTCTTACTGTTGGAGCTCTTGGACTGGTTTAAGAATAACTTTTTTCACTGGGTAAATAATCTTCCCTGCAGCAGGTGTGGTGGGCAGACAGAGCCTAAAAGTGACTATCTGTTGCCTGTTGACGATGAGCTAAGGTGGAATGCCAGTAGAGTGGAAAATCATTACTGCAGCCAGTGTCAGTTGTGTAATAGATTCCCAAGGTGAGTGTACAAAGGTTTGCTTTGTCTTTTTTTTTTTTCTTGTCTTTCAGGAAACGGCTTTTCATTTGTGTGTTTTGTAAACAAGTAGCAAGTTGTTGATTGAAAGATCAGAGAAGCCATTTGAAGTAACATAATAGGATGGTAGATGAACCAGCAATTGCATTGTAAGATTAGAGTTTTTAAAAACTATACATTGCTTTCTTTTACATGGCCTTGTTCTGAATACTTCTCTGATTTTCTTCTTTTTTGCTAATTCGATAACGTACATCTTCTAAATAAAATGCATTAATATTGACATAATATGTAGGTAGGGTTTTGTTATTTCAGCAAAAACTTTTACTTCTGTGGAAGTCATACAGGGTAATGCACATCTTACACTGAGTCTGTAGCATACACATTCTTTTATATTTTTGCTAGCTATCAAAAGGACCAGCATGCAAGTCTTAAGTCGGTTTTGAAAACTGAAAACCCAGATTCATTTCAGTGTTGCCAGAAACATGTGATGGAGTCATGTGAGTCAAACTAGAAATAGCATTCTGCTCACACTGGTTTTCTGCAATACAGCAATCATTTCTGTTTTCTTTTGTGGACTGAATGGCACTGAAATCTGTTTAAATAATCACAAATAAGGGCAGGTCATGATGTAAAGATTTGGGAAGGTGAAATTTATTTTCAGTTATTCTGGTTTGGTTTTCTCCTGTAGGTACAACCATCCTGAAAAACTTCTGGAAACCAGATGCGGACGCTGTGGCGAGTGGGCTAACTGTTTTACACTATGTTGCAGAGCTGCAGGGTTTGAAGCTAGATACGTCTGGGACTGTACAGGTATCGGTATTCTAGAATATTTAATTGTTAATAAAAACCTATGCAAAATGAGGTTATGTATTTTATGGTTCTCAGATTATATTAAGCCATCAGGCAGCATCTAGAGTTATGAGCTGCTGTTCAGCTAACAAAGACAATATAAATTCAATTTCCTGTCCTGCCTGATGAGATTGAAATACAGTTCTGCAAGTAAGATTAGATGATTGACTTCAGAATAATGCAATCTTTAGTTAAACCTAAGAGACTATGATCCTTACAGAAAGTTCTGGTAACTTTAATTCTGAATGTAGATGAACAGAAAACATGTTATTTCACCTGTTTCTTCATTTAGTAAATCAGGAAAAGTTAAAATATTCTACAGTATTAAAAGGGAGGACCTGTCCTTATAATTTGTTGTTTATTCCTGGCCCTTGTTATATAGATCATGTGTGGACTGAAGTATATTCTTCAGTTCAGAAAAGATGGCTTCACTGTGATCCCTGTGAAAATGTCTGTGATAAGCCTCTTCTCTATGAAACTGGGTGGGGAAAGAAGCTTTCCTACATATTTGCATTCTCCAAAGATGAGGTAAGAGTAATGATATCAATAATAAACAGGCTTGCTCTGAAGCAAAGGTGTGATGTATTCTATCTTAGCGTGATTTCCAGAATTATTACAGAAAAACAAAACATACTTTGATTAGCTGGCCTCTTTAAATGAAGGAAGGTACATGAGAATTTTTAGTTGCTTTATTTTCTTCTTCAACTTGTGCTTAAGGTTGTTGATGTCACCTGGAGATACAGCTGTAAACACGAAGAAGTACTTTCTAGAAGGACAGCCCTCAGTGAAGCTACGCTACGTGAAACAATTAACGCACTGAATAGAACGGTATGTTGCTTTTCTTAAATGGGTTTCTTTAAGTGAAACCTAATCCTCTCTTCAGAATGCAAAGTCCTGGAACAAAGAAATATATTTGGTAACCTCAGAGGAATGCCTGCATTGTGGAATGTAAAATGCTGATAACTATACAGACCTCATTTTACACTGAATACCTAAGAATCAGTCACAGTGCTGAACTTCTGTGAAATAAGATAAAGAACAGTATGTAAGAGGATTATCATACCTTTTATATAGTCAAATGTGTGTTGTATATGTAAAATATATACAGTGTTTATATATTTTTTCTTGATGTCTTTAGAGTAGACTTGTGCATCAGCACATGCTGTACGTAAACTACAACTGCTTTGTAACTATGTGGACTCCTTGAGGGCAACTGAGCATATTCCACATCAGTAATGCTTTAACTTGAAAGCGATAGTATATATAGAAACGTAGGCCTACTTTGTTTTTCCATGACTTCTTGGAAGGTCTAGGAAGCAGGAGAAATCATTCACAGGCTGCTTCCAAGACTTTCAAGAGGCATTGATTCAATCAGCAGAGCTTTGGCCTAGAGCCTCATATGCTGTTTTGGGGACATTAGGCATGAATACATGAAGCCATTTGCACCAGCATGTCATAGTCACAGAACTCAAGTGCATACAGCACCTCTCTACTAAGCTTTTCTACTCCCTACTTGAGGCAGCATGAACTTTTCTTGACTTGAAATACTAGAAAACCACAAAACCTTGAGCCACCTGTGAAGTTCCATTTTTGTCCCACTTCCTTTCAGGGCTAATTCCTGTGCAAACTTTAGTTCCAGTGGTAGCATACAGCTGATGGCTTAATAAAAGGATTATGCCTTCTTTAGAGGCCTGCTGGCCTGAGGGTTACAGCCTAACAGTAAGGGTGTAAAAAACTGAGCCTGCCTCATCTTTGAGGCCAGAGCTTGAAATTTTATCAATAGTGAAGTATCAGAGTCACAGCAGAGTGGAGCTCTAAGAAGGCTGACCAGAGTAGCAAAACAAGGAGATAGAGGATCAGAAAGTCAAGTTAAAGAAAGCATGCGCCTTGTGCAGGGTTACAGAAATTTAATGCTATCCTCTTCAGGCATTCGTTGTACCCTTGCTGGCTACAAAACTGATCTCTTTCTTCTGATCTGCTGGTGACACAAACCAGTCGCCAGACTCTTCTCCACCAGGTGTCCATAGGGAAAGAGCACTCAAAATATGGCACTAGTAAGCTGAAAAATAACTTTGACAATACAGGTGGAATCGGGAAAGTATATGCAACTAGTCGTGGGCTGGCTTGCCTGGTCTCCTTCTCACTTTGATGATATCACATCATCATGATACGTTTCACTTACAGGAGTTTGGAGAACTCCAGTATAAAAGTACATTGCCATCTCCAACAGATGGTGCTGCATGTTGGTCTATTGGACTGTTTCCTACTCCCTTCCACCTGCTTTATAGGACTGTGCAGCCCCTGAGCTGACACGAGCACTTTTCAAACAGAGGACACGCATTCTGGTCATGTTTTAAATGAAAGCTTTATTAAAACCTGAGTACAGGAAAGAAAGCTATACATGTGCTTCCAAGGCACAGTTATATTTTTCCTGTCTTCCTTTCTCTACACATGGGAAATCTTAGCCTTTTCTTCTCTATGCTGCACACTTCCCCTATTGCTTTCCCATATTATTAAATCTGTCTTATGGTTTTATTAGAACACTTTTGTCAGTCTTTTTTAATGGTATCTTATTCTGAGGAACAACTTTCCCTTTCTACAAGCTGAGTGATACTCATATTCCCTTCTTGATACTCATATTCCCTTCTCACGCACACTTCCTTTTGCACAGTAGCTGTTCAGAATGTTTAATTAATAAATTTAATCCCTGTAAATAACTGCTCTTACTCTTTTTTTCTTTTGTCGGTTATAGTTGGAATTGGATTTCAGGGGCTTAAAGGCAGTTTGCTGTGGGGTTAGCAAAAGAACAGTCTCCCCCCCTCCATCATTTGTCCTAGTCAAAGGGCCTTTCCTAAGATTCATACTAAGGCGGCAATGGAGTGGGAATCAAGGGGCTTTTAAAAAGCTGCTGATGATCTCCATGTTGTATTCCGCAGATTTTGCAGACAGTGGGGGGTTGGGGGTAAGGCAGCTCACCACTAGAAGTATCAGGACATCTTATAGTGGGTTTTCATCGCTCTGCTCAGTTGCAAGTCTGTATTTCAGCTAGTATGCTCTTTCCTTCACTGCAACCTATTCAGCAGGTAACTGACACAGGCAAGGGCCTCCACTAACTTTCTCTTTTCCCATCATCTCCTAGAGACCTGCTTCATTCACACTAGGAGCCATTTTTTCTGCATCAAAAATATTTTTTGATGCAGAGCTTCAACACTGCATCTTTTAAGCTCAATTATTCTAAGTTACAAATAAAAGAAGCACAAGAAGCACAGTATGCAGTATACATCATAATTTATAGTGCAATATTAGTGAAAATGGAATCTGAGGAATTATTCTTTCCTGCATAAAGAGCAATGGCGGTGGCCATTATTTCTCTGCAAGCCTGTCTGTTTAGTTGACAGGCAGAGACCACACAACACTTCAAAGTATGTTGAAAAGAGGCAAAGGATCACAGAATCACAGAATCCTAAGGGTTGGAAGGGACCTCAAAAGATCATCTAGTCCAACCCTCCTGCAAGAGCAGGGTAACCTAGAGTACATCACACAGGAACTTGTCCAGGCGGGCCTTGAATATCTCCAACGCAGGAGACTCCACACCCTCCCTGGGCAATAATTTAATTTAATCTATTCATTACACTATTTTACTTCTCAGAAATAGTGTGATTTATTTGGGTTAGGCATTCTTAAATGGGTGTGTAACCTCTGCATTACGAACCATCTGATGTTATTCTATAGTACCATACAAATATTCTTCATCAGCTTTGTATGGGCACTGTCCTATTCCAGTCCATTGTATGTTACCTCTATAGGAAGGGTGGAGAGGACCCTGAACTTTCCACTGCTCTCGTTGGAAATTGGATGGTGGGGCAGGGAAACAACTTTTATTTGCTCCAGGCGCTATTTTTTTTTTTTTTTTGTAGTGGTTGTGAATGATTATAGATGCAGCCAGGTCAGTTCTTAAAGGGAAAACTAGTAATCTAGGTTAAATTGCAGCCATTTCATGGTGGTTGATGTGAGATGAACCAGTAAATCAGTATTGCTTGTGTAAAGGTTTAAAATTCAATTTCCTCAAATTATCTGTTGCTTACCCAGCAGTGGGTCCAGTTAAACCATGGGTTATCAATCTGCTTGAAGCACAGAATTCTTCAGGATGCATCAATAGTGTAACTTGCATGTGATGCAGAACTAATTTTAAAGCTGCAGCTCACAATTCCTCTTCCTTCCTATTCCCTTTGCCTGCCAAAGGAAGGTGGGGCCTGAGCATGTATGTAGAGGGTAATATCTTAATAAAAAACAAAAGCAGGAAGTTTGAGCTATGGCAGTTGATAATGGCATTCTTGGAATCCATTTCAGTACATGGATGCTTTATGACAATGTCATTTGTAGGAAATGTAGTTACAGGTTTTCCCAGCACAGGCAGTGTTGATCTCTGTGGAGTGTGTTATGTGTTACATGCTTCTAGTATTTAATGCAAGAGTCTACTGTTTGTGGGGAGATTACAAAAATTAGCATGCTTGTGCACTTTATAGTTGAGGGACTTATTACCTTTTTCTATCATATGAAAGAGGCATGTTTTCTGAAGCAGCGCTTTTGTGTTGAAGCGCTGTTCTTTAACAACTGGTTTCTTCAGATACTGTTACAACAGCTGCAGAGCAAGGGCAACTAAGTCTTAGACTGCCATCACTCACTAATTTTGGTGTGATGACCCCTGACGCTGGGTTTCCCTATATCAAAGCGGCTCAAAGAAAATTGTAGATTAGTATTGTTACCTTAAGGGCAATATCAAACTTCCATACCCATATCAGACTTCCTTTGAGCTGGAGTGAGATACGTATTACTGCATGTGGGCATCCAAAGTGCCCATGCAAGTCTTAAGATTCAGGAAGGCCTGGTATTCCATAAGGAATTGCTGGAGTCAGTGCTTGTCATCCAGCAACACAGAGGCGCATTACCCCCTTGCTATGTTATAACTGGTATTTGGCAGCTGGAATTTGTTCAGCTGGAGCTGTTTCTCATAACTTCTCTGTATCTACTTTCCTGTATCCAGTTCCACATTGTTGCTTGCAAACCCTTCGAATACCTCTTTTCTGATCCGTAATAGAAAAACTTCTGGGGTCAGGACTGCTTTTGGGATAATTGGAATACTTACTGGCCTGAAGTTTCAGTTCCTAGTAGGCTGAGTGTGCATGCCTTGGGCAATCACCAAAGCAGGGGAAAAAAAAAAAGATGATGTGTAATCATTTGTGTACTCAGTATTGAACCCACACAGAGTTGGAAAAACTACCCACAGTTCAATAAAAATGCTTCACGTATCAGCTGTGTATATTTGATGTGAAAATGATGGAGACAAAGCCTCAGCCTCTCAGAATTTTTTAAGTTGTGTACCAAAAAATGCCCATAGTTTAATTCATGTGGGCAAAGAAAGCACGTTATGTAATTCTTTCTCTTTTCCACTAATTTACCTGGAAGTGTAGGTGATACATTTTTCTCATGTTTCTGATACCTGCAAAAATATTAATCTCATAGGTTATGATGAAATCAGTCACTGTGAAATAACTGTTTCAGAGACCAACCGAATCATTTATTTGGGCTTAACCATGAAACCAAGACTGTTGCAAATCAAATCATTTCACCTTAGAGAAATTTGACTCTGAAATTATGCTTGCTTTCTCTTTCCCCTAAATAATATCAAGAGCAGCTATGGTACAGAATGCATATGAATAGCTATGAAATATGCTGCGGAAGTGTTTTATCATCCAAGCAAATGTATTAAAAATATAGCACAAACCTTATTTTAAAAGAAAGCTATATCGCTAGTGTATGCAAGTTCACATGCAGTTATGACTGATTTATATTGGCACATGTAGTATAAGATTGTTTCCAAGATTAGTGTTTCTAAGTCAGTCTCGACTCTAGATGTTAGTCTGTTTTTTCAATTCTTCTTTTCCTTGTTGGTGTCACTCTAGAGCAGAATTACAAGTACCATTTTTCTGAATTTTTTACTTTGTTTCTTAAATGTATTTTCAGAGGCAACAGTCTTTGTCTGAAAATAGAAGAAGAGAGCTCTTGGAAAGAACAATTGTGGAGCTTGTTGAATTCATTTCTCCTAAAACGCCTAAACCCGGAGAATATGGTGGAAGGACATCAGGTTCAATGGCTTGGCGAGTAGCCAGAGGTGAAATTGGTCCAGAGGTATTTAACTTTTGCATTGGTGACTACCTCAGAGGTACATAACTAGAGGTTCTAGGACTGTGGTCTGCAGAAGAATATCACTACATGGTAGACAGCCTACAGATTTAGTTCAGACAGTGAAACTTGGAAAAACATTAGGTGCAAGTTTGATGTGAATGCAGTAGAGGTCCACAAGTAATTTTTGAGGATTGATGGTGGTCCATTAATTCTCAAGTTTCTACCTTCAGGTTTTTTAAGTCGATTTGTAAGCTGTCATATACAAGCATCCTATATGATAGTCACAAATTACATTTGTTATTTATGATTGTACAAGTATACTCAATGTGAATTTTCTATTCCTGTTAATCTCTCAAATTTGCTATTTTTATGTTATTTTGTTAATAATTTACTTCTAAAAGTAATTGAATGAAAATTTTAAAAACAAAATCTCTGCTCCCCCCTGAAAAAGATTCAGGTCTAATGTAGGAAACTGGTTTAAAACTTCTGTTTGCAGAAATATTTTTGGCCATGACCTCTCTTAAAAATGACTAATTTTTCAGTTGGCAGCAAAACTGAATTGGGAAGCCAAGGCATGCTGTTTAAAAGTAACATATTCTTACTGAAATGTATCGGGGAATGACAGTGCTTGTGTTTTTTAATTTTTCAGAAAAGAAAAGAAGTAATTTTCATTCCCTCTGAAAAAGAGAAGACATCTAAACTCTTCCACCTCATCTACAATATAGTAGAAGATAGTTATACACGGGTTTCCAGTAATAATGAAAAAATAAGTGGTTGGGAAGCAGGTGTTTGGAAGGCAGAGTCTATCTGGAGAAAGGTTGAAACAGATTGGAAAATGGTAAGGATAACAATTATTAAAAGTGTAAAATCTACCATAAAAGTATGATAACTCCAATAAATAGAAAACCCTTTTTGGTGTTTAGAATCAAAACCTTTCTTGGTGCCCATAGAATTCAGCTGATGTTAGTAAATGGTTAAGCTTCAGGTAAGATTGCTGGATCTTACCTGATGTAAATAAATTGAAATGAATGTAGCTAGTCTTTCAGAAAGGACAATCAAATTCCCTGCAGGTGGGTAAAATCCTTGCTAAAGCTCCAAATTTAAAGAAATGGCTTCTTTCTTATGCCTTAGGGCAAATGCACAAATACTGTTTTCTTGAAAAGCAGTACTTCCCTCTAAAAAAGATTATTTTTTTCTTTTGTTGTTTTGGAGAACAGCTTTATAGGGTATCATATCTCTTTGATACACAGCTGAAGGAAGAAATTGTCATACCTAAATATTACAGTTTCATCTGCAAGGCAAAATCCTGTTACCCGGATTATCATATACCCTGCCCTGACAGGACAATGGGCAGCCAAATAGTCATATGCTCTAAATCCAAGAAGAGAACTGATGCCTGTAAGATGGGGAAGGGTCATTTACTCAGCAAACAACTTTTCCTGCAACAGCTATCAACTGTGGAACTGAGTGTTCCTGTCAGGAACTATAGCATGTTATTGGTTTGGTCCCCTATCGTTTTACTAGTCTGAAAGGTCTCTGGCCAAACATTCTTCTAGTTTAGGCAGTGGTTTGCTTCCCATTGATAAAAGTTGGAGTTGAGTATGTAATTGTCTTCTGAGATTTACTGTACTGGGTTCTACATATAACTACCCTGCAAAATGCAGTGGGGGAATAGCTTGGATAGGTTATCTTACTTTAAAGGCAAGGAATAAGGAAGAAGACTAGAGACTAATACAAAAGATGTTACAACAAAGTAGGCTAATAGAAAAAGAGAAGTAAGAAAAACTCAGAATGAGGGACAACTGTTCTCTGTTTCCCTAGGATCTGCTGAAAATCTGGAAGCACATTATATCAGCAAGACTCCAGTGGTCAGTTATGCTCATTTTTGCAACAAGCAGAAGTGTTTGCAGTAAGCCAGTTACTGTTGGTCTGCTCTTCCATTCAGCTCTACAAATCAGATAAAACAGGGAGGGTCCAATGCATAAGTCCAGACAAATCAACTTTGCCCTTGTTTTGTATTTGCCTTGCACCTCAGTCATTCTAGATAAAGAATGAGAGAGTGGCCTTGAGGAATTAGGAGCTACAGATCCAGGTATATCTCAGGCTCCTTGATAAGGCATATTAGTTCAACAGGAAGAGGGTCCTGCGTAATGTCTGTGTATGAATCTAAAATGACTTCTTGTTGGGGTTTGTTTGTATTATGAATGACAGCAGAGGGAAAGGTTGTTTGGGGTTTGTCTGTTCTTTTGTAACATCTCTAGTAAATGCGGAAGGTACTGATTTGGAATTTGATTTATCAGCTGTTCAAGAAACAAGACAATATTATCATTGCATTTTGTTTATAATTTAGTATGTGATGGATGGAAAGAAATTTAAATCTAAAAGCTGCTGTAAATGTGACTATAGGTATTAGCTCAGGAGTAACACAAAAAAAAAATCAGTTATGTATTCTGTCTTTGCAATGTTGTTGATCAGTACAATTCAGATAGACGATTATCTTGGACAATCTGATGGTAGCCATCTCCGTCGTATTTGTGTATTTTGTTGTGATTCAGTGTCACTTGACTTTATTACACAACTGAAACAGATATAAACCACAAATTTAATCAGAGAGAATTTGGTGTCCAGGGCTCAAACAAGCAAACCACAGTAGATGATAATGAGAGTGTAAGAACCTATAGATCTGAAATGCATGGGTTTCTAAAAGCTTGTTTTCCGTAAGAACTGCTCCAGTAGAAGAGAATTTTTCTTACCCTGAATTCAGACTTTTTTCAAATAATACTGGAAAAAGAGTAGCCAGGTGTGAAAGTTAGAGGACATCAAAAAGGCACAATAGGAAACTTTAGCTTCTGTTTCTCTGATTAAATGGTCTATAATGGAAGATGAGACAAGCTAGTGTTTCAGTTTTTATCCCTAAAAGCGTATATTTAGTGCACCTCAACCAAGTAATAATTAATGGAGTGTTTTAGCTTCTCTACTCAAATACAGCAGTTCAGTAGAAGCTAATCAAGAGACTCTTGCTAGAATTAGTAAAGTACTTAAAAAATTTTGCTTGGACATCGGCACTTTCATGAGCGTTAACATTATATTCACATGAAAGCAAGTTAAATTGTTGTATTTCCTCTTTGAAGGTGGTGTTCAGTGTAATACCCTCACACTTCTGGGTTTTTTCAGCTTTCTGTAGTGTGAGAATTATTATTTTAAAGCCTGGTTCTTCGTAACACTAAAATTCTGGTTTATCTTATGTCAGTGGCATTTCTGTATAAGGATGGGATATTTAGTAAAACACATTTCTGTGTTTTATTATCCTTTTACTCAGGGATGTTCTTCCCAGATTAAAGACCTGTCTAAGTCCATTCAGTATGGCATTAATCAGAAGCCTGGGCATGACAGAACTTTGAGTTCTCTTAATTAAGGATTCTGAAAGGATTGTGTCAATTTTGACTGCTTAATCTGTGATGTCTGTTGTCTTGGTTTACTGATAATAGTTGTTAGACTTGTAAGGACCGTCAGATGTTTATTACAAAATTCTTATGAAGGGTTCATTGTAACTTTAATGAACGTTATCATGTGAACTTGACTGTTCAGCTAGGTGAAGCTTAGAACAGCATTGGGACTACCTTAAGTTATGCATATCACTAAAAGTTCACATAATGTTAATGTAAGATTTATATATAGCTAGCATGTGTGACTGGCTTTAAGCAAGGCTTGTCAAGTCCTAGGAGAAGCAGTGTGCAGCAAGCAGCCTCATCTGAAGAATCTAAAATATTGATTGCAGGTTTTTTTCATCAGCAATACTGATGAACCAAAATGAATAACCAAAGTATGTGGGTTTGTGCATTTATATAAAAAACAGAAGTCTGTTGTTGGTCATTTTGTTGACTTTTGTTTGTTGTTACTTTTTAATAATAAGCTCAGGTATTTTTGTGGCTTAAACTTTACCAAACGTGTTGAAATAGGTTAATGTTTCCTAGTGAAGGACTCTAAGCATGTACAATTACCTAACTGTGGAGTAGATTTAAGGATTCAGAATGAGATTATGCACAAAATTGTGCTATGTACAGTTTTAAAGGTTCAGAGGCTTGATAAAGAATCCAAGTGTGTTATCTTAAGATTTTATGTCCTTATTACAACAATTAATTAGACGTGTGTTGGTCATCTTAACTTTTGACATGCTGACTATGTCTTCTTTCCATTTAGGTGTATTTAGCCCGCAAAGAGGGGTCATCCTCTGCTTCCATCAGCTGGAAGTTTGAGTGCAAGTCAGTCAATCTAAAAATAGATAACATTTCAGTGAGGACAAGCAGTCAGACATTTCAGAGTGGAAGAATAAAGTGGAGGCTTTGCTCTCCAGCAGCGGAAATTGAACTAATAGGAGGTAAGTGTGGAGTTTAAATAGTGAATTAGATCATTCAACAGAGGTGTTTAAATGGAGAGAGCAGTGCACAAATGTAAAAATGAAATGCAAATGCATTTTGATTTTCCCAACTTCTTAGGAAGGTCAAGAAAATACAGTGTATTTAATGAAACCTGGTACAAACCCCAGTTTTATTGATATACACAGCCCTATCTGCAAAAGGGCATGGTTAGCAAGAACATAGTGGATACAAGATACTTGTGTGTTTTACTAGAAGGGATAGGTGCTTATATAGGTGAGGCATCTTCAGTCTTGAATAAGTCCTCTGAGCATAAGCATTAGACAAATAATAACTGAAAATTTGCAGTTGTGTTTTTTCCTGCCACTGACTGGCAGATGAATTTGAGTGGTTCCAACTGAGATCCTTGATCTTTCATGACAACTTGCCCTTTTTAACATGTATTCTAGCATTTTATGCTGTCTGGAGCAGTGACTGACTGAATTACTTATCTTTTCCTCCAATAGATAAAAATCTTTGCTCCTACTCAGATTTTTCTGGTGCAACGGAAGTTACATTGGAAGCAGTTCTAGATGGAGGGAATGGTGAAGCTGCATGGCAACACACGCAGCTATTTAGAGAGAGCTTAACAGGAAGTGGAGAAAATTGCTTAGAGATGATTATAAAACTCAGTGACCTCTGAGAACCTGAAATGAAGAAATGCCCTTTGAATTCCTTGAAGTCCTTATACCATGGATACAACATACGAAGATTTGGTCGTCAGTTCTTGTTCATCCTGATGAACAGATATTTTCTGTTTCACTTTCACTGCTCCCATTTAACCAACTTGAAACTGCACTTGAAACTTCATTTAACCAACTTGAATAGGTAAACATCACAATGAAAACCTCTTTGCTTTAAAACCAAACAGCACCAGAATTAAGGGATTGAACCATTAAATGCCTTTCCTTAAACTTTATAATGAAAAGGAAACATGTTTTTAGGAAGCAAAACATGGTCACAGAGCAATTGTAATTTATTTTAATTTGGAGATTTGGGATTGGCTAGCTGGGGTATTTTTTAGTTTGAGGGGGGTTGTTTTTTCTTTTTAATATATAATCTCCTTGGAAAAACAATTTTAATTCAGTTTTCCAATTACAGCGGATGCTTGTGATGATTTTAAAATATTTTAATAATAGAAGACTTAAACATTTTAAGAGAAAAATATTAATTTGTGTAATAACCATAGGGGCTGAAATAAAGGTAAATTTGGGAAATCTTGAAATTGTCTTATACCTTATATACCTTTAATACTTATATAAGTATTAAAGTTGCATTTAATACCTAGAAATATTTGGAAGTATAGTGATATGCTAGGAAAATAAACTAATTTTGAAAGAAGTATTTATTATGTACCTAAAAATGTCATGGTCTGTGATATGAAATTGAGACTAAACCCATCAGAATTTCCTTCTATGAAAAATAGATTATTCATTATAAATACTTTTTAATGATAGAAATTCAGATCTGCCTACTTTTTAAGTTTTTTATTAAGCATGTAGGCTGAAATCACTTTTCAAGCTATTGTCTTGAGTTACTTTGAATATTCTTCCCAAATTTGATGTAACACTCTATGCAATTTTTGTTTGTTACTGCAGTGTTTAAATTTCTTTTAATTGAGTCTAATAAAAACTGCCACTCAGATGTCAAATGTAGCAGTGCTGTGAATAAAGTATGGAGTGAACATTCAGATTAGGTAATCTTTATCAGAGAATTTGAGGAAAATTCAAACTATAATTTTATTTTAAAATAAGTGAAAATTAGATTACATTCTCAAGAATTCTGTTTATAGCTCTTTTGTTCCTCTTTCTGACCCTTCCCAGCCTCTGTATTGACTTGAAATAATTGTTAAAAATAATCAAAATGTTTGTTGACCTTTCAACAAATCTAAGCAGATATTAAACTATTCAGATTTTATTAGGAAACTCCATAGGCACAGTGAGCACAGGCATCAAAATTATGCCACAAACATAGAATCATAGAATGGTTAGGGTCAGAAAGGACCTTAAGATCACCCAGTTCCAACCCCCCTGCCATGGGCAGGGATGCATCATGCTAGACCATGTTGCCCAAGATGCCATCCAACCTGGCCTTGAACACTGCCTGGGATGGAGAATTCACTACTTCTCTGGGCAGCCTGTTCCAGTGCCTCACCATCCTCACAGTAAAGAACTTCTTCCTCATATCTAACCTGAAGTTCTCCTGTTTAAGTTCAAACCAATCACACCTTGTCCTATTGCTGCAGTCCCTGATGAAGAGTCCCTCTCCAGCAGCAGTTTATGGTAGTTTGGGAATGACAGAATGATGTATGATGGATTATATAGTTTGCTTCAGAATGTAAATTAACAGTTTAGAAGGGGGATTAAAAAGAGATGGTCTCACTCCCTTAATGCAGAACAGTGACAGGGAACTGTTATAGAAGAGCATTTATCAAGACTTGACTAATGAAAAGGGAATTTGCCAGTCTCCATTCAAAACTCATCCTGTATGCTAGTGCTGAGATACTGAGTTGGAACCCAACAGAAAAGTGTTTTAGATTGATATGTATGCTATGTTGGAATTAAAAAGGAGAAAAAAGACTTGGTGACACTAATCAGCAAAAAATATTCTTGCTTCATAATTTGATATCTGAAAAAGATACTGCTGTAAGACAGAAATAATCTCTTTAATTGTATTACTTAAAACAGAGGACCTTGAGGAATTGCTAAACAATTTAACTTGCATTTGATAATTTGAAAGCAGAAGGCAGAATAGGAGTAAGATAAAAGTAATTTTCTTACAATTTTGGTCAGAATCTCTGGGCGAAGAGCAATAGCTGCAGAGAAATTAACAGTCGTCCACTCAAACAGTAGAGTAGTTGAAGTCCATTATTAAAATGTTTGAATGAAATAAAAAGATTCAAGTCTAATTAATCAAGAAGTACTTCTGTATTTGTAACATGACATGCAGTGAGCAGCAGTTCGTATTATAGGAAAGAATTAATGAATAAAACCTCAGATTGAATAGAGCTAATCTGACAAAGTTAAATGGAACTCCTTCAGGTGTCTTTTGGAGTACTCTGTAAACAATGAATGTTTTGAATCTCTTCATGCATAGGCTGTTTTAAAGACACTAATTTTCCCTGTTGGTCTCTACTTCAGTGCAGCTCTATATTTTTTTCATTATTTTCTGAAACCAGAGGTAATTCCTCATCAATAATAACTTAGAATATCCTTAATTTGGAACGTTATATGGTGGAAAGATCTGTACTGCAACATGCTCTGAAAATATGGATATTAAGTTATGCTGGCAATGGTCTGATACTGATCGAGTTGTAGGAGTTACTGATCAGGGCATATGCAGCTAAAAGTCAGTGGTTACTGCTCCCTAGAAATGTATGGCTTAATGGCAGCATACGGAAAACCAGCAGTGTTTTCTAGAATTCAGCTTAGTGCACTTTCAAGAATTGCTGGCAGTCCAGTGGGCCATGGTTGCTTTCCAGAGTTGCAGTGAGGTGTAACAGTGAAATCTTTTCAATCACATTTTACATAAATACTATACCATCCAGTTAATGCTGGCAAACTAATTTTGGAGTGCATGGTTTCCAGCAGAACTATGTGGGAGCCTGGGCCGAGAATTCCTTCTTTCAAACTGGTATTTGTTGTGCTGCACTGTTGACTACAGCTGTTCATTTCTTCATAGCCTGTTTTGACTCTGCTGCACACACAACTCCATTGCAACCACAAGGGGTAACCCATGAAGTTGTAGTAGTAATTTCCTACAACCCAGGAAGCTGCTGGGAAAATGTATCTTTAAAACTTATGGAGGAAGCCCCATATTAGCAGTGTAGAGAGGAAGCACAAGTATACAGGAATCAACCAAACTTTTGTATAAGTTATGTACTTGCACTGAGAAGTAGGTAGTGCAAATTATCTCATCTCATCCTGTGTATCTCATCTCAACTCATCAGTTACCCACGGAGGATTTTTCCACATGTAGTGGCTTAGACGTGAGATATAATCCCTATTATGTGCAACATCGGGAAATGCAGAATACTAAAAATGAAGTATGTTTGTCTCCATAGCACAGTGAAATGAAAACATATGGCAGGCAGCACAGATGGCTGCCAGAAGCTGGGAGCACCCATTTGCATAGTTCTTGCAGCTCAAAACAACAACAAAAAAAAAAAGCCAAAGCTAAGGATCTCCAAGGGGGGCAGAGATTGTTTCAGGCAGATAGCAGGATGTCTGTCCTCTTCTCCATGCCTACAGTCACTGTCTCTTCACCTTTGGTTGCTTAAGCTAGAAAGCAAAGTATGCTACCAGTTAAGAATTTGGTGTACTCTTAGTATTTGTCAAAACTTAGCATTTGTTAAGCGCAGATGTTGTATAAAATACACTTCTAATTTCCACTATAGGTTCACACCTCTGGTTCTGGACTAAATTTAGGATTTTGCCAGTGTTCTGTAAGCAATTCAGCAACTTAAAAAATGTGTCTATGTTGAAAAGACTTCTGTATCGTTGCTTCATATCATATGTAGGGAGGAGTACAGACCCATGGCTTCTTCCAACACGGTGAAATAGACGTAGGTCCTATCTATACTTTGAATATGTTTTAAAAGTTACTCAGCATCACTGGCAGTAGTTCAGCTTTACTGTGTGCTAGCTTTTAAGGTTCTTATATAGGGTACTATCGTTGCTAGCAGTGCTTTATGTCTTTTAGCTTATGTCCTCTCTAAGCAGTAATTGGTGATACTATATTTACTGATTGTTGCTCACATAGTGTTGTCAGCAGGGGTAGAATGAAAGAGTCACAGCACTAACATCTGCAATAGCCTTTAGTAGGTTGATACAGTTTCTTCTTCCTTGAAGTTATTAATTAGTCTCAGGAGCAGAATTTTGAGACCTTCCATCCTACAACGCAGCACTTAGGGCTGGCCAAGTAAGAAGCCAAGGTCAAACAGCCTCAAGTATCTATATTTTAGGTGTACAGATACTGTGAAATGTGTAAGGGTCTAAATGTGACTGTCTGCCTCTCTAAGAGAACAGGGTTTTTTCCTTTGTTTAGACTTTGTTATTGGGCTTTTCATTTTATGGTAAGCTTTGTAATTAGACTATTAGCTTAATTTATGATTAGCCTGCTTCAGTTTCTGCAGCTCCATCTTTTTCTACACATCTCCATCTAATTTAAAATGCATTTCAAATTGTTTTTGGTTTATACAGAGGATTGCAGCTATATTCTAAATATTTTATGACAAAAATTAAGTTAGTTTCTTTACTTTTATTTAGTAAGGAGACTAAAGGGATAGATTAAAAATGCTCAAGCTCAGCAACAAAGAAAAGGCAATAGTAATTAAAACAGATGGCACCCAGAAACCAACAAACCCCACCAGTATTTAATAAAATGTAATGGATGAAGAAAATGTAATGGTCTACTTAAGCTAGTGCTGGCAAAAGTAACTTCCACGATTGACCCCATTTTTGAGATGTTTTTTGATGTGCTCATTTATATTTAAATCACTGAAAATTTTCAGTAGAAGAAAAGTGCTCAGAATAGTGAGCAGCTTTTTTTGCAAAGCAGTCTAAGGTCTCAGGAATACCCTTTTTTAAACATCCTTTATTTTTACTAGTCTAAGCTATAGAAATACTTTTAAAATTAAGAACAGCTCCTACTGCTTGACACAAATTCATTCCTTTCTTCCGGTGAATAACCTGAATCTTTGATTTTGGAAAAGCGTGTTTAGTGACATACTGTAAGCAAGAGTTTTAAGAGCACATTATCTGTAATGCTTGTGAGATTTCATTGTGGCATTGAGCACCTATAGAGACTTAAAGGACTGAGTTTTACATGCTGGCTAACTATAGCTTTCTGTTAGGGATCTTATAAATGGGGGAAAAGATTATATCACTATGCATTTTGATTGTAACATATCCATGTATGTCCTTTTAATTTGATCCTTTCACTACATAATGCTATGTGTTATTTCATATCCTTGGAACTTTGGTAATATAACGTGTGTGTCCCATATCCCCTCCAATAATGCCCATCAGCTAGCACCTTACTTCTGTCATAATCAGGAGGCAATGCTGGGTTTATTTTAGATAA